CAGTTACTTCCATTCTCCTGGCTCAGAGATGATCACAGCTATTTAACATATCTAAGCGACCAGCCAAAGGCTATAGATATGTTAAATGACCACACCAGAGGGTAGCTGCAAGGCTGTTGCTATGCTCCATTTGTCCCTTCCCCCAACCCACACTGTTGAGGGGGGGGGACATCTTAAAATCTCCTGGACACCTTGAGTTCTGGACCCCATTTCAAATGCCCACTTGGGGTCCCCCCTCTTGGTTGCACCCTGTAACAAACTGACATGTCACAGGTTCAATTCCAGTCAGGGCACACGCCCGGGTTGCATGTAACCAATCAATATTTCGCTCTCACATCAATGTTTCTCTCCCTCTCCCTCCCTCCCTTCCCTTCTCTCTAGAATCAATAAGCATGTCCTTGGGTAAGGATTAAAAATAAATAAATAAAAATAACTTGGTAAACCTCTAGTGAGACTGGTCAAGAGAAAAAGGATAAAGACACAAATTACCAATATCAGGACTAAAAAGAGACCTCACTACAGAGAGGAAAAGGACAATGAGTGAGTATTGTAACCCACTTCACGCTGATGTGTTTGATATCTTAGTTGGAATGTACTGAAGGGGGACTCTCCGGGCGACCAGGCCATCCCTTCGCTCTCTGTGCCTGCTATAATACTGGGGTTGGGGACAGACGAGAGGGGAACTGAGGGTGGCAGAGCATCCAACTCTAGGTCCGAGGGGGTTGGGCTGGCAGAGCCCACACTGGACTAGCCGCCAGGTTCAAATTCCCTCAAGCTTATCTCAGATCTAAGCCTCTACCTATCTCAACATTGGGTACACTAAGAGACAAGTATGACTTAATTCCGGGGATTGCCCAATGACGGAGTTGGAAAATTTCCAGATTTAGGCTATGCTTCCTGCCCAAGTCACCTCCACAGCACCATAACATGGACTGAGAAGGTGTTAAAAAGCTGGATTCAGGTTCTCTCCCCACCCCACCTCTTTCTCCCTCACTCCACCCAGGAGTGAGGCCCAGGCGAATTAGAACAAGCAAGGACTCTGGCATCTGACCAACCAAGTTTCTAGTCCCAGCTCTTTCTCCAACTAGCTATCACCTTTCTAAGCCCCAATTTTTTTAATATTTATTTTAATGTAGTTGTGAACTTACACCTCCAGGGTTGTAAAAGTTAAATAACAGGAGGTATCTACAATGCTATGTGCAAGGTCAGGGCTAAACCACATCAGTCTCTGGTCTTTTCCCTAAAGGACCCTTTCCCTGAAAACTCCAGTGAGGACTATATTCCATCTTCTCAATTTGATCTTGAACTTCAAAAGCTCCCGGAGGGCAAGGATTGGGTCTCTTTTCTCCTCTTGTGAGGACTGGGTAGGCTCACACAGGCCAGAGCCTAGCATGGAGCAGAATGCTTGGTAAACGTCTGTTTTTGCCTGTCACCCTGTGCCTCTCTTGGGGCAAGCGTCCTCCCTGCCTTGCAGGCTGGACACTTACCCTTATCTGTGCAACAGAGAGAGGAGGAGCTAAGGATGCAGTTACCCTAAGGAGTGTCAGAGGGGCAAGTATCCAACTCCTCATAAGCTCCAAAGTCATACCCCTAATTCCTAATGGCAGAACAACACTGCTGACTGAAGGGGCATAGTGGGAAGTGCCACCCATAGTGAGAAGCACCCCCCTCCTTCTCCAATCACGCTCTGCTTGGTAGCTTGACTTCTCTATCTATGGGTTGGCCAAAGCATCTGTGGGTGAGGTCGGGAGATGATGAAGGAAAGGTAACCCAGGTCCAGGAGAGGTCCCGTTCACACACTGGCAGAAAGCAGGGCAGGCAATTACAGACAGGAATGTAGGGATGGTGGACTATGTGGGGAGGGGCCAGGGCAAGTCAGTGCCTCGTGTCAGGGGCCCCCATGCTCACCTCACGCAGGGGAGAACAGTCCCAGAACCCGGAAAGCTTCCAAGAAATGTCCTCTCTGGGCTACTCAAATTCTAGAACTCATTTTCCATCCAAAGCCAATCTGGACCAACTGCTGAAGCAGTAGCCATGGGCTTAGCAGCTGCAGCCAACAGGAGGGAACTGTCACTCTGTGAAGTGGTCCAGAAGCAAGTGATGGCCCCCTCAGTCCTCGGACTGGCCTCTTGCACCTTTGGGGGATTCTCCCTCATGTGTGTACAGAGCCTAAACTGGGCAAGGTTCCCCCCGCCCCCGCCGCCCCCTCCCCCCCCCCCTGTTCCCTGTGCCCGCCCACACTCTAAACCGTCAAACCACCTGATCTTTCTAACCTCCCAGTCTAATCAAGGTACTCTTCTGTTCACACCCCTCCTTTGTTCGACCCCCACCGAATAAAGCCCCAGCTTCTTGGCTAGATTACAAGGCCCTTCAGGTCTGGTCCCTGCTGACCTCTCCAGCTGCATCTCCTGCCCCTCCCCTGCCTTATCCCTCTTCCAGCCCCACCAGGGTGCACATGGTTCCCACATCCAGGCCTCTGCCTGAACACCCTTCTCCTTCCTCTCTGCCAGGCACAGTCGTCTTCATCATCTCAGGTCCAGCAGCAATGTCACCTCCTCTTAAACTTCCTAACTTACCGGCCCTCCTCGGCGCTCCTGTGGCACTTTGTCCCTGACTCTGTCGTACTCCTTCATCAGTCAGTGCACCGCTGACTGAGCCACTCTGCTGAGCCAGGCCCACACAGGGGCACAGGACGATGAGGCTCCTGCCTCGGGAAAGCTCCGGCCCAAGGGAGAGGCAAACAGTACAGACAGACGATGTCAGCACAGGAGGGAAGGGCTGAACTCAGCACAGCCTCCCATGATCCCCTGCAGCACAGCCTCGCTGGCTGGCTGCAGGCACTGGCTTTGGGACACCATCTCTTGGTTGGGTCTCCTTGAAGGCAAAAACTATGTCTGGTTACCTTCTACGTCCCAAGGAAAGCCAGGCCCAGGAAGGTGCACATGGAAAACACACTGAAGTGGATGAACTTGGGATCTAAATGTTTCAGAGAGGACTTGAATACCCAAAATCTTGCCATTTAAGATAATATCTTACTTTCCATAGCACAGTGGTAACACCCTTGTACATGTTATGATTTCATTTGATCCTCAGATATTGAAATGAAGTCAGCAAGAGAGAAACTGTCACCTCCATTTCATGAGGCAGAAACTGACCCCTAGACTGGGGCAGAAACTTGCCCAAGGACACTTGGCAAGTGAGTGGCAAAGAACAGGCCAGAATCCAGGCCTCCTGCCTCCCAGCCCAGCTCTGCCCCTTAGATCACACTATCATGCGAGTGAGTGGGCTACGGGCTCCAGCCCACACCTCCTCTACAGGAGACCCTTCTGAAAGAGGTGCATCCACACACTGTGGTCCTTCCAGGCCTGCAGGAGTCTTTCCTCCATGAGGACCCCAAAACACCTTTGGGGAGAGGATGCAGGAACCCAGTGGCATCTTCGGCATCCACCAGACTGTACTCCTCTTTACCCAGGAATACACCACACCTGTTCCTACCTCCCTGTCTTTGCACATTCCAGCCCCATGACCTGCACATCTGCTATGCTGCTAGCCTTCCCTCAGTTTCCTTAAAGGCACCAAATGCTTTTCAGCCTCAGAGCCTTACCACATGTTGTACCCAGATGGTTTTTATTCTCCTCCTCGTCAACTTATGCCTCAGAGTTCAATAATGTTTTCTCAAAGTGGTTTACTCCTATGGCCCTGAGAGGGTTGTACAAATAGAAGTGTTTCTAGGTCCCATCAGTGGCATTTGCCACATGCTGCCTTGGCACTGTGGCTTTTGTCACACTCCTCCCCCTGAGGGGGTAAAGACCTCAACAGTGGAGACTCCCTCTCCTCGCAGGCGGTTACCCCACAACTGGCTTGCTCAAACTGTGCCCAAGAAATCTATCTTTTCACTGACATGCTTGTTGCCCCCACCCCTCCCCTCACCCCTAACATCCAATGTCATTTCACCACAGTCGCATCGAGCTCACGGCCTCCTGCGCTTGTCTCTAGACCAGGCCTTTCCCTCGGTTCCCTCCACCACTGCCCCAGCTCGGGCCTCAGCCCCTCTGACCTGGGGCTCTGCCACATGCAGCTCCCCACTGCCCTCTCAGCCTCCAGCCTCTCCCAGCCACTCCCACTACGGTTGCAGGGCTCTAAAACACTCATCTGACCACCTGTCATTTCCCTACTCAAAGCCATTCCCAAAACTCCACCCCCACCCCAACATCCCAAGAGTGGCACTTGAGAACTTTCATAAGATCAAGCCCAGCCTCCTGTCCCACTGCTGCCTGAGCTCCGGCCACTCCAGGTGCCCTAGCCCTGCCCCCAATACGCTGGCTGTTCTAACTGTATCGTGCTTGTCCTTCCTCCACCTTCCATCTACAAAACTACTCATCGGCGTACGATGAAAATAATTTTGGAACACTTTCTGTGTGCCTGGCATTATGTTAGGCCTTTTTCATACCTAACGTCATCTAGTTCTCAAAACACCTCACAAAAATAATTGTTATTATTCCCATTTGACAGATATGGAAACTGAGGTTTGAGAAAGGTAGGGTCAGAACTGGACTCCAGGTTTATCTGATTCCGAAGCTGCTGCGCACTAACCTCTCTGGGAAGTGCAACTAGGCCCAAGGCAGGGACTTCTCTCTTTCCCCAGAGCTTCCGCCAGCATGTTTGTGCAGCCAACACCGCCCCACCCACCACCGTCATCGCCAACGTGAGCATCCCAAGTGTAGGGCCTGGGCTGGCTGGGCTGGATCCACAGCACTCAGCAGCGCATAGGTAGATGCTCTGTGCAGTTCCTTAACAAACAGGTGGAAAGTTAGAGGCAGCTTGGGTAGTTTAGGAGCCTAACCCTAACCTACCTAATCCTTGACACCGTCAAGAGGCGGGGCCATGGCATCTGTAGCCAAGGAAAGGCTTTGTCCAAAGACTTAAAACACAACACCCGGGTCACACGCCCTTGGCTTGCCCCCTGCACGGGCTCGGTTCCCACCTGCCAGTTTACTTACGCCTAGCAGCCAGGCCGTACCAATCTCCTCCAGAGAGCGGCAGAGGAGCGGATACAGGGCGCAGCAGGAATAACCAGGTGCTCCTCTTGCAATGATTCGACCTCCACGCCTCGCCCGCCTGCCGGCTCATCTGCGCAAAGCTGGGGGTCCAGCGGAGCAGAGCCCCAGGCACGCTCCCCGGAGGAAGTGGCGCGTGCCGGGGTTGGAACGCTGGCCCCAGCCCCGCCCCCGCCCTCATCGGGCCCCGCCCCGTTGTGAGGTTATAAAATGCAGTGCTTCGAGTCGCGAGCGCAGGGGCTACGGCTAGGGCTTCGCGTTAGGCTGCTTCTCCCACTGCCAAGGGCCGCCCGCCCCCAGCTCCGGTGCCGTATCAGCGCCGGCGTCAGCGCCGTTCCCGGCTCCCGTGCTCGGCGCGAAGCCCTGGCCCCGGCGGCCGGGGCATGGGCCAGGGGCGCAGGGTAAGGCGGCTTCCCGCACGGCCGTTACCTACACCGGCTTCAGCATGAAGACCCTCATAGCCGCGTACTCCGGGGTCCTGCGAGGTGAGCACCCCGCCAGAGCTGCCCTAGTGAGAGCTGTAATGGAAGGGTCTGTGCTGTCACGTGAGGTGTCTGGGCGACGGGGTGAGAGTGTGGGGGATGTAAATTGTCACCACCAAGGGGTCTGCACGGCCTTCCGGGCTTTCTCGTCCGGGCTTATGAAGCTGCAAGGTTTTCAGGAAAAGCTGTAATGAAGGGCTGTAATGGCCAGCAGGAGTGTGTTCTTATAATGAGGGTATGCTGCTGAAGGACTGGCCACTGCGCAGGTTAAGGTCTCAACCCCTTTTCTTTTGGGAAAACTTGTCGTTCCCCTCCCTGTCCCTTCTCCGCAGTTCATCTGGGTCTCGGATGAAGGAAGAATAATGGTTACCTGGACTGATCCAGGCAGCTTGGCGTGGTAGTCACGTCTGGGTTCAATCTCCACTGTAGCACGCATCAATATTTGCATCTGCTGTTACATCACTTGCCCCAGCTTGTTTTTCTCATCTGTGAAATAGGGGTGATATCTGACAACTCTCCAGCCCCCAGCATTGTTGGTGGCTCCTAGCAGTTACCCCCCTCCCCTCTGTCCTCACCTGAGGGAGCAAAGGGGAGAGACTGGATGGGGCAGAGTCACAAGGCTTCTGCACTCCCCTGAAACAGCCACCAGACAGAGATGTGTCTGACGGGACAGGTGTGCCCACCACACTGTCCTCTATCCAAGGCCCATCCTCCAGCCCGGGCTCTGGAGCCCCGTCAGAAGCAACTGTGAGCCTGGCATACTTAGAAAGCGGGCAGAGGACCCTGGGTGCCCTCCAGCGTAGCCCCTGCCCCTGGAGCTGAGGCCCTCAGTGAATGGGACAGAGCTGAGATCAAACTCTAGAGCTTTACCCCCGGAGGAAGATCATCCCTTCCACCTCCCACACCCCACCCCCACATGTGCGGCTGGAGAAACTAAGGTTGGAGAAGTGCATGACTTGCCCAAGGTTTCCTTAGCAAATGCCTTAGGGAGGGGATTAAACACAAGTCCAGGAGACTCTGGGAAGTCAACATAGCTGTCCTGGTCTGAGTGTCTGTCTTGCTTGATCCCTCGCTCCTTGCTTCCCTCCCTCCTCCTAAGTCTTTATTCCGCTTGCTGAACCTGTCCTACTTAGGATTTTTCTTTAGTAACTAACAATTGCCTACCCCACGCAGCTTCATTATAAAAATAAAGCATGATAATTGTTGGGATTTTGAAAAGCATAGAAAAACAGGATGAAAATTAAAATTGCTGGTATCAACTATCCAAAGATAGCTTTCTATTGCCATTTTTAGTACATTCTTTATAATTTTATTTGTACATATTATATAGGTAAAGTTGAAGGCATGCTATAGATAGAGTTCTGAAACCTGTTTTCTCCCTCTTGATGTTATATCATGAGTATTTCCTTCTGTTACTCAAAACCACGTACAATATTCTGGTGGCTGCATGACTGTGGAGCAGTGTCACAGTTAAACCGTGTCTTGGGCGTTGTTGTTCCCTGTGTGACTGTTGCTATGATTGTTTGCCCTCTTGGTCTGGGTGCTGCTTGCTCTTGGAGAGGCACTGCACTGCTGTCGCTGTCTGGTGGGGCAAGCAGCTTGAGGTGCCCCGTGCACCCGGCCCAATAGCCTCTGACAGCCCGTTCTCTCACTTAAGAGTGCTGGTCTGTTCACTGCGCCCTTTGAGGGACAATAAGAAGGGAAGGGAGGGACTTACTCATATTCAGGCTTTAAAAAATGCGTTTGGCTTCAGGGAATGGGCCAGGGATGCTCTCTGTGCTAGTCCTTCCTGGTGGTTCCCTTCCCTCACCTCTGCTTCCCACAGGCTGGAAACTGTGTCTTCCAGGAGCCAGGGACCCTGACTCCCATGCTTTTGACCTAGAGTTTGTTATTTAGGAGGACTTTTAGGGCATGATTTTGACCAAGTGACTTAATATCATATCAGGAGCATTTTCCCCATGTTGTTATCAGATCTTGAAAACAGGGTTTTTTGGTTTTTTGTTTTTTAATTGTCTGTGAAGAATTCCATCATGGCATGTAGCAGGGCTGGTATGAAATACAAACCAATCAATTTAGCTCTCTGGGATCTGCTTTGATGAAAGACTGGGTGGAGTAGGGGAGGGTGCTGCATCAAATTCTGTGTTATCTAGACATCTCCATTAGACCTGCTTTCTACCTCCTTGGTCTTTGACAACACTCTCCGGTGTCCCGATTTGCCTCTGTAGATAAGGTGCCACAGTTGTGAGGTGGTGAACACCCTGTTAGTGGCGGTATTCAAGGAGAGACCATGGATTCTGTGAAGGGAAGTCCTGCATTGGGTGAGAGATTGAATAGACACCTTGGTGCCTGATTTCTTGACCACAAGAAAAGGCCAGCTCTGGGAGCATGGGTGGGTGGGTGGGTGGGTGTCTGTCCGGACGGAGGCGGAAGTCTGCGTTGATAATTTTTAATCTCTGAAGGACTATCCCATGTTGGGGTGGAGGCTGCAGAGTTAGGCACATTTGCATACCTGCCCTCGCCCCTGGACAGGAGGCTTTTCCCGTCAGAGCCCTCTGATGCCTGCCTCTGTCCCTAGGGTTCAACCCATGGCCCAGCGTGAGATGGTGGCAGCCCCAATGACGTTCTGAGCTGATTTGTTGTGTATGGCTTCAAACAGCAAGGCCTGGCACAGGGGTGGGTTTATGGGCACATAATGGTTTTGCTGTAATGGAGGAATTCTTTCTAACAGCTCATAAGGACTGCAGCAGGCTCAGCGTGGGTGCGGGTGAAACTCCCCATCACTGGGGGGTTGCAGGCAGGCACTTGGTGGGGAGGTGAAACTAAGAGGCTAGATTGTTGGGGGGTAGCTCTGGAACCTAACTCAGTCCTAAACTGTAGGATGAGAACATCATTCTGATGTTCTCTTCTTCCCTAATTTGCTGTAGCTTTCTCCTTCCCCTGTCCCACTTCCTTACTGCACAGAGGCCACTTTTGGGTTATCTGTGATGCCAGTGGCTCATCTGGGCTGGGAAAGAAGGGCCAAGAGTAATATTTACTAGCAGTCTGGGTGAGTCAGTAGCCAGTGTGGAAATCTTGCCCCACGCCCCTCCTCCCACCTCCAAATACAGCAGCAATACTTGAGTCATAAAAGCATAACTATCTGTTAACACGGATCTGGCCCAGACCTTAAGTTACAGACGGGACACTGAGTGCCCAGAGAGAAGGCTCTGGTCCGGAGTTATCAGAGTCAGGGTTAGAACCCAGGCCCATCTCCTGTCTGTGACTTGCCCCCTTAAACCAAGAGGGAAGTGTGGTGAGGCAGCAAAGGGCTGAGCACAGGGCTCTGGCCATTGTAGGTGCTCAGCTGCTTCTAGTTTTCATGATGTGGGTGATAGGCCAACCCTCCCAGGCTTTTTGGGGAAGCCCTCCGCTGCAGCTTGCCCTGATGGATGGAGCCTCCACGAGCCCTGAGAGCATGGACGCCAGGCAGACTGCCAGGTGTCCCTCATCCCACTTTAAACCTCCCAGACTCCTCCCTGTGGCCATGAAGCCTCATGCGAGCAGCTCCACTGCTTCATGGCCTCATCTCCTCCCACGTTGTGCTCGGAACAGCTGGCGGTCTTCCTGTCCTTGCAGCTTTCCCGCCCGTTCAGCCCTGCCTCGCTCAGGGGCTGTGTGTGTGCTGCCCTTCTGCCTGCATTGTTGCACGGCTGGCTTCTGACTGTTCAGTCCCCCTCATAGGCCTTTTCGGACCGTGCATCTAGAGAGCGGCCCCCTAGTCACTTTCCTTGTTTTATTTTTTTTGATAGTCCTTATCATTACGTAAATTATTATGTGGATTTATCTGTTTAGGTCATTGTCTCTCCATGAGAATGTCAGCCTCTTGGGAGCAGGGACCTTGTCTGTCTGTCTCAGTGCTGTATCCTTGGGCCTGCAGTACAGTGCCTGGAATGCAGTAGGTGACCAGCAAATATTTGTTGAATGAATGAAGCATTAATGGGTCCTCATCCCTCCTGAGAGCTGCCCTGTCCCTCTTGGCAGGAAGCTCTGTGTGATTCCTCTTTCTTCCTCAGGCCTCCTCTGGGTCTGCCTGTGCTGGGGCTGCAGCTGTCCCCTGCCCTGGAGACACCCACAGTCTCAGCTGAAGCTGGCTCTGGGGCTGAGTGCAAAGTGGGCAGAGCCTGGCTCTACAGGGTCCCTGTCATTGCTTCCAGGGCTTAGAAGCCAGAGAGCTAGAATTCCAGCCCCGGCTTCCCTCTGGGACCTGATGGGCAGCTCACTTCCCTTCTGGGGATCTCATTCCCCCTGTAATATAGGCTCAGAAATCTCAAACCTTCAAGAAAGTGAGCGTGAATGGAAAGTGCTTTGTAAACCAGCCTGTGGCACTCCAGGTAGTCCCTCTCGTCTATCCTGTGTGGTGCTGCACAACAGGCTCCCAGCACTGTGGAGAGTGGCGGGCCCTGCTCTGGGGCATCTGAGAAGCTTCAGCATGGCGGGGACCCTTTGGCTTGTTGACGGAGCACCTCCTGTGAGTTAGACCCTGGGCTTCGCACAGGGTGGTTGGCCCTGGGCCCTGCCTTTGAGGAAGTGGGCCTGGGGGTATACACAACACTGCCTTACGCAGTGACCCACACAGTGTCAGAGAACGAAGCAAGAGGAACTGTGGAGGCCTGGAGGTGAGGGTGGGACAGTTAATCATCTGGGGGTCAGGGAAGGCTTTCTGAAAGAGGTGACATTCAGCCTGGATACTGAAAGATGAATAGGCATTAGCAAGGCAGGAAGAAACTTTCAGGCACAGGGAATGGCATAAACCGAGGCATGAGATTGGATGGGAGGGGCAGGCTGACTGCAGGGCCTCCCAGTCACCAGTCTGGCCTGGAGTCCTGGTATGTGCGCTAAGGAGCAGAGACAGGCTGCCATATCTGGGCCCGGTGGCTCACCTACGCCCGCCCGGGGAGAAAAGGAACCTGGTGCACTTGGTTTCTTGGCCTCTACCACTTCTGGGGACTCCTGCTATGGAGCTG